TTCTTGCAAGGGAGAAAGAGATTCAAGGCAGAAATTCAAATTGGTGCTGCCTTCCTGTGAGGACATTTGACCTTTTCTTTCTAGTAGTACATTCCAATAACTGCTATAAGTAGTCCTTAGTTTTACTTAGGCCTATGCTGACAGCCTGCTAGTATTCTAAGGGTCACCTCATAAAGCTCCTTGATACTGAATTGTAGCATATGCAGGGCATAAAATGCTGAAGGAACTGGAAATTACAGTGTCACAAAACGAATCATTGTCTGCTTATAACTTAAAGAAAAACAGAGCCTAAATCTTGCCCAAAATATATTTCTCAACTTCTCTACAGAGTATTTATAATTTTACTAGGAACAGGGAAAGCAGCCAAGTACTGCTAAAATTGACTAAAGGTAAATCGTTAATTTCACAAAAGAATAATCTTTAGTTTTTTGCTTTTATGATTATAATAATAAATTGTAAACCTGTCTTCCTTTCTTCATTTAAAGAAGTGATCTGTCCTTGCAGTTTTTGGTGTTCAGTATTTAACAAAAAATGCTCACTGAGCTCAGGTAAAGTTATTACCTCCAGTCTGTGGGTTGAAATGCAGAGGTAGTCACACTGGAATGTTGGCTTCACAGACAGATTCCTTGTTAGCAGAAGTTTTGGGTTTGTGCTGCATTAGGAGTTCTCTGAGACTGTGTCACGTACCGAGCTTTCAGGACGATGACTCAGGTTCCCTGATTCCCAGGCCAGGATGAAGGTGAGTCACACCAAGGATCCTACACCAATTTTATTTATCAGTCACCTAACAACAATGTATTTCAATTGTCCACTTAGCACAATCAACATTATTAGCAAGCAAAAGAAACCGGCCTTAGCCTTTTGTTAAAGCGAGAAAGAGAGAGAAGGAAAGCGACAGGAAAAGGAAAGATCACCACCCCTGGATCCAGCGACGACCACGGCACACGCAGCCATCTTCTTGCGGTGGGCGAAAAAGCACCAAACTGCCCGGGGTGAGCACCTTTTATACAGTCAAGCTCTCGCCACGTCACGTTGTTTAGCCCTTGTGGAAATTACTGGGAACCGGTCTGGGGGACGGTGGGGGCTTCTGAGGGGGATGTTACTGCTCACTCTCCCAGCTTCTTGCAGCCCCCGCTCCAAGCCCTGCCTGCCCCCACAGCTCCACCAGTGCAGGGCTGGGGCAGGGGGCTCAGCAAAGCGCTGAGTCACTCCGGTACAAACAGGGACAGGCGCCAGGCAGGCGGCTCTGGAGGGGAGGAACTGGAGGTCAAGACACCCTCGCTTTACCCAGACTGAGTATACCTGGAGTGCTGGAGGCACTTGAGGTGATCCATCATCCGTCCCACAAGGCAGGGTCACATGCTCACCTGTGCCATATTCCACTGCTTTCCTTCCCAGTTTGTGTCTTCTGAAACTCAGTAGCACACACAGGCTCCAGGTGTCCCTTTCTGGGCTGGCTCTGCTGTCTGACCAGCCAACGGGAGTGGAGCGAATTCCTTCCAGATTCTCTCTGAGCAGGACTATAAACACATCACCAGAGCTGGAGCTGAAAGCAGACCTGTAATCATGACTCTGAGCTGCTTCGATGGAGTGTATGGTCTCCTTGTTCTCTTTCAGCTTTCACAGTCTAATCCATGGACTCTGTTCGGTATGATTTTCAGCACTCAGCCAGTGGAGTATGAAGTTGAATTTCACAGCTTCAGATGTTTGCAGGGTACTTGCATGATCAGTAGTCTGTGTGTATGTCTAAGAAACTTGCCTTTGGTGTAGCTGTAGTAGGTAGCACCCATGTCTTCCCCAAAGGCCCATGCCAACAGATTTGGCCAGGCAGTCTGCAAAAGTGCACAGACAGGAGCAAAACTGGAACTGACTCTGCATTAAAGTAGTCTTTAAAATAATATGTTGTGCTGATGGACAGCAAAGATTTTTAATTCAAGCAGTCATCCCATTCTCAAGTGAGGAGCTGTTTTGCTTGATGTCAGGAATTGTTTGTGTCTCTCTAGGACAAAGGTCACGGTTCTGTTCCTCCCTGACACACCCTGGCATCTCCAGTGTCAGGCTCACTGGCCTGTGTCTCTGTGGAAAGTCGACTTCACCAGGGTTGGCTGGCTGGCTGGCTGTGATTCTTTTGTGTCTTCAGGACAGGTATCATCACAGGTACCTCCAGCAAATCCCAACAGGGCACATCCTGGCTGCTGTCCCTCTGCAATCATTCAAGATGTGGTTGCCCTAGCAGTATATAGAATATGTTACTATATAGAAATATGTTAATAAAGGCATTTTCCCAGCTTGAGTTCCCCTGC